ATGCATGCACATGCAACCCACCCTTTTGGCCTCACATCCCAAAAGAGCATGGGGGGGGGGGAAGCCTCGCCTCCCAAAATGGCTGGGAGTGGGAAAAAGCCTCGCCTCCCAAAACAGCGCTGGGAGGGGAATCTCCGGAGATCTGGGAAGGCATGGGAAACAGAAAGTGAAGAGAAAGGTAGGGCCCCCCCTCTCCCGCTTGCAGGGCAGAGAGCCGAAAATCAGCTGGCCGGCTGGAAGCTCGTGCACGCATGCGCAGTGGAGCTAAGCTGGGCGACGGCTCGCGTGCCCGCAGAGAGGGCTCTGTCTGCCACCTGTGGCATGTATGCCATAGGTTCGCCATCACAGCCCTATACCATTTCAAGTAAATGGTTGTCCAACCTCTTCTTAAAAACCTCCAGTGTTGAAGAACCCAAAATTTCTGGAGGAAAGTCATTCCACTGATAAATTGTTCTCACTGTCAGGAAATTTCTCCATAGTTCCTTAGTCACAAATGCCACATTTGATGACTTGATCTCTGAAGTTATGTTAACTGTAGTTCTCTCTCTCTCTCTCTCTCTCTCTCCCCCTCCCTCCCTCCCTCCCTCTCTCTCTCTCTGCTGTATGTATGTATGTTCCAGCATAACTCTGGAATGCCTCGAGCAATTTCAACCAAACTTGGTACACAGATGACTTACCCTCTGGAAACAAATACCTGGGGGGGTGGGGTGAGGAGAGGGAACACCTCTGGGGGGGGTGTATGTTCCAGCATAACTCTGGGACGCCTTGAGCAATTTCAGGAACGCCAGGTTATCAGGTAGTTGCATATAAAAACCAGCAGATTCTGATAATTCCTGCTGCATTCACAAGTCAATCAAAGACATCACTTGATAAAGCTTCAGTTTCCAACTCCTAAACCTGCATGGTTTTACATATAAAGTATAGAATATAGAATAACAGAGTTGGAAGGGACCTTGGAGGTCTTCTAGTCCAACCCCCTGCTCGAGCAGGAAACCCTACGCCATTTCAGACAAGTGGATGTCCAGTCTCTTCAAAACCTCCAGTGATACATCCACAACTTTTGAAGGAGAGTTGATTAATTGCTCTCCCTGTCAGGAAATTTATCCGGAACATAATTATGTGTGTTAAAATTTGCCAGCATTATATTGCCATATTTTAGCTCATTACCGAATCTCTTTTTCTAATGAAAGTTCAAAATGTCTGCTTATGGTACATTACAAATTAGGGGCTTTTTTTTTTAACCTTTAAAGCAGATACATGCCGTGGGGGGGGGGGGGGGGATGGTCATTTTTACTATTTTAATTAGCTGTCCTCTTTCTAAGACTGTACGTGGATATCAATATTTTCTTACTTCTTTTCCTTTTGCAAATGTTACAAATGTTAAGGCCAGTAGGGAAAACAGAATCCTGTTGTCATAGCAACGGAAGATAAATACGAGGAAGCCATAGCACCTTTGAAGCAAAATGTGAAGAAAACTATTTTACCCAGGAATCTGTAAAACCATGTATTATTACTGCCGACTGAATTTGTTTTGCTAGCACATCAAAGTCCTTTTATAGCAATTATTTGCTCTTGTTAAAAAAAAAAAAAGGCAAATATATAAACCCCAAGATTGCTTTTTTCCAGAAGGCAACAGGCTTTTTTTCTTGTGTTTTTCCTTGAAGACGTTTCGCTTCTCATCCAAGAAGCTTCTTCAGTTCTGATTTCTGACAGAACCTCTGATAGAACCGAAAAAGCTTCTTGGGTGAGAAGCGAAATGTCTTCAAGGAAAAACAAAGGAAGTCCAGCTGCCGTTTGAAAAAAAAAACAATTTTGGGACAACCATGACCTGGAAGATTGAGCATCTCCGTAGACATATCTATCAGGTTTGCCTGAGTCGCCAGTTGCAGCCCTTTCTGGATCGCAACGCCTTGCGCACGGTCACTCACGCCCTTGTCACCTCCCGACTGGACTACTGTAATGTTCTCTACATGGGGCTCCCCTTGAAAAGAACCCGGAGGCTCCAACTGGTCCAGAATGCGGCCGCACAGGTGGTTATGGGCGCAACTCGTTGTGCCCACGTGACACCCCTCCTGCGTGAGCTGCACTGGCTCCCAGTGGTCTTCCGGGTGCGATTCAAGGTGTTGGTTACCACCTTTAAAGCGCTCCATGGTATTGGACCTGGGTACCTTCGAGACCGTCTTCTGCCACCAGTAGCCTCCCACCAGCCAGTCAGCTCCCAGAGAGAGGGTCTCCTCAGGGTACCATCGGCCAAATTATGTCAGCTGGCGACACCCAGGGGGAGGGCCTTCTCTGCGGGAGCCCCTGCCCTTTGGAATGAACTGCCCCCAGAAATGCGTAAGATCTCCGACCTCCGTGTATTTCGCTGTGCCCTCAAAACCTTATTGTTCCGTCAGGCCGGGCTATCAATGTAAAGATTTTAATTGGTTTTAAATGTGGGATTTTAAATTTGGGGGTTTTATAATTGAGCCAATTATTTAATAATTTTAATAATTTTTAAATTTTGTTTGTTTTAAATTTTCGGGAGAAGGGCAGTATAGAAATATTATTATTATTATTATTATTATTATTATTATTATTATTATTATTATGTGCTTTATGAGTTGTTGTTTTTTTAAAGTGTGGTATTGCAGGTAACTGTATAGTTTAGATGTAGCTAGAGTTTATAAAAAGATTCTGAACAGTCTTCCGATTTAATTAATCCAGTTGGCCTTTTGACAAAAAACACCTTTGGGCCAAACCAATGACCTGGATAACTGAGACTCTCCACAAATATTTGAATATATGACAAGATCCAAAAGAGAATGGAACCACACCAGTGGTGGGCTCCTCTGGGTTTGGCCCGGCTCGGCCGAGCCGGTAGCGGTGACGATATGACATCACCGAACCGGTTCTGCCCCCCACCCCACCTCACCAGTACCTCTGCTAAATCCTAAAGAATTGTCACATGATCAAGCCACGCCCACAGAACCAGTAGTAAAAAAAATTAGAACCCACCCCTGAACCACACCGCAACAATGACAAGTCGACAACGACAGGCACATGCCCAAAGAAATAAAAACCACCATCGAAACACAATTGAGAGACATCGATTGAGCAGGGGAGGTTGGACTAGTCCCTTGCAATTCTGCCCTTCTATGATTCTATATGAACATTATCTAATTATTCACTAATACCCGATCTCCAAATACAGCCTCTAATTTTAAAAGCTACATCTTGACGGCAGAAGTTTTTCCAAGGTGAATTGCAAAGTGGCAAATGCTACCAAACAGATTTATGTCGCCGGTAATTTAATGTTCACCGGTAGACATAAATTGCAAGCAAAAAAGTACACAGAGCTTTGAGAATTTTGAATTCCTAAAGAATGCTCTGTTGCTACTCAGGCGTTATTCCTCATCTGGGTACTGTCAACTCTGCAGCTGTTCTAAGATTTATGCACTTAAGCTGTTTTACATACCTAGAGTAACAGAAGAACTCTGCAAGCAAGAACAATGATTTGATTACTGAGAAAAAGGTGAGCACGGATGCTAAAAACTGATATATAATTTGCATGAATATGGACATGCAGTGAATCCTAATTTTAAATAAACGACATGGCTGCCTGGCTGGCTGAATTTTGGCCTTAAATGTAATACTTTTAAGAATTTTTTAAATTTAAATTGTGATATTTGTGTTATGTTTTACCTGGCTGTACACCGCCCCGAGTCCCTCGGGAGAGGGGCGGTATAGAAATAAAATTATCCTTATCCTCATCCTTGGTCATTTACATTCTTTTGGTTTGAAAGAAGGGTCCAAGAGGCCATCTGTGTCCAAATTGAACAGCCCACTCTCAACAGAAGGGGAAGGATACGACATCGCCTATCTCCAATCTACAACACAATCCTTTCAGCAGTTCCAAAAAGGCTCCACACTCCACTACTCAGGTGAACCTGAGGACACAGACAAACCTCCAAGTGGCCTCAATGACTCTCTAAAAGGACGCAAATGACCAGCTGTCTGCAAGGAACACAAATCCTTCCGTTCATTTCATTTCATTTCATTTATTAAATTTATTTAATAAATTTAATAAAGTTCCCCACCATCCAGTCAGAGCTGAAGAAGCTTCTTGGATGAGAAGCGAAACGTCTTCAAAGAAAAACCAGAAAGTCCAGTAGCCACTTGAAAAAGCACCTTTGGGACAACTGTGATCTGGATAATTGAGAATCCCCACAGACTTTAAGGTATGCACTTTGAGGTGAACACCAGGGGTGAAATGCTCCCGGTTCAGACCGGATCGCCCAATCCGGTAGCGATGGAGGTGGGTGGTTCGGAAAACCGGTAGCAAAAGTCCCTCCCCACCCCCATGCCCAGCTGAGCCGTGCGATCATCAGAGGCTTTTTATTTTATTTTTAAAAGCATTTTTTCTACAACCCCTTCGGCCAAAAAAATGCTTTTAAAAGTAAAAAAAGAAAAGCCTCTGCCGATCAGGCAAGTTAGCTAGGATCGTCAGAGGCTTTTAAAAGCCATGTTAGGAGCCTTTGATGGGGGAACCGGACTTCCGGTCGGCTCCAGAATTGAACAGGGGCTTCTAATTAGGACCTTTGTGGCTCTTTGAGTGTTTAAGGTTGCCGATCCCTGGTCTGGGTGGACCTCAAGGACTCTCTAAAAAGATGCAAATGACCAGCTGTCCACAAGGAGTATAAATCCTTCCGTTCCCCATCCTCCAGTCAGTGGCAGGCGTGAAGATCCAATGCAAAAGATGGCTTCCAGATAGAGCTAAAGAAGCTTCTTGGATGAGAAGCGAAACGTCTTTAAAGAAAAATCAGAAAGTCCAGTTGCTTCTTGGAAAAAAAAAGCACCTCCACAGACATTTAAGAAAAAAAATCATTTTTTAAGGCAAATTAAGCAGGCGCAATTCCACTTAAAATTTTGTGCCAAAGCAAGTTATTAAAATTCTCGTGTCGTAAGTCACGGCCTGTGGCTAACGAATATGCAAAAAGGACGATAAAAATTCAGCCTACCTGACCCAACTTCCTTTTCTTCCTCGTCAATGTTATTCTTGATGCTGTCGTATTCGTCGTCTATCGTTTGATTGCCCCGCATCCGTGAGAGGATTCGCCGTGCTTTTTGAGTCTGTCCTTTCTGAATAAGCCAGCGGGGGCTTTCGGGAAGAAAAAGGAAACCGACGAATTGTATGACAGCTGGAATTGCTGAGAGACCCAGCATATACCTGCAGGGAGAGACATAAAATTACAGATGTTTTTAAATAGGGGCTTATTAACGTTCTCTTCCTAGAATAGCGGTGTCAAACTCAAGGCCCGTGGGCCGAATTTGGCCCACGATATGGTCAAATCCAGCCCGTAGGGCCATCCGGGTCTACCCAATGCGAAGAGGAAACGTGTCAGCAGTTTGGGGAGTGGCGTCAAGCTGGCCACGCCCACCCAGTCGGCCACGCCCGCCCAGTCAGTCACGCATACACCCCCCCAAAATCAACCACAGCCCTGATGCGGCCCTCAATGAAATTGAGTTTAATACCCCTGTCCTAGAAGAACAGCAAGAGTTTAGTTTTGGATATTTTTTCAAGGGAGTCCCTATGGGTACTGTTTCCCCGAAAATAGGACCCAACCGGAAAATAAGTCCTAGCATGATTTTTCAAGATGCTCGTAATATAAGTCCTATCCCCAAAATAAGCCCTAGTTAAGATTGTCAGCCAGATGTGTGCATTTAGTACCGTATTTTCCCAAAAAAATAAGGTCTAACCAGAAAATAAGCCCTAATGTGTCTTTTGGAGCAAAAATTAATATAAGAACCGGTCTTATTTTCGGGAAAACACAGTAGATCTCGACTTACGACCACAACCGAACCCAAAACTTCTGTGGTTAAGCGAGACGGTTGTTAAAGTGAATTTTGCCCCATTTTACGACATACAGGTGCTGTAAACAAAACTCATTTTGGGAGCGTGACTTGGCTCTATCTACAATGAAAAGGAGGGTTGTGATTTCATTTTAAAATTTTTAAAAAAATTTATACCAACCTCCATCCGCCCTTGGGAAGGTAGCTGAAGGCGCCATCTATAACACTGGCAAAGAACTGCCCACCTGTGATGAAAAGTGTATTTATAGTCACTAAACGGCCTCTCAGGTGAGGTGGGGCCACTTCTGCTATGTAGACAGGGACCGTCATCGAAGCAATGCCTGCAAGAGATAAACCATAATAATTAAAATTATTATCAACTATTTAATTTGTAAAAATTAAAATGAAATTTACCATATTTTTCAGAGTATAAGACGTTCCGGAGTATAAGACGCACATTAGTTTTGGGGGAGAAAAACAAGAAAAAAAAATCCGCCTCTGCCTCCCAGCATCCATCAGTATTCATCTGGCCAGCATCCTTGCGGCTAACAGCCTGGTCAGCTTCAGCACGTTATCACAGCCTGATTCAGCATGAACAGCTGATTGGCGATTGGATTGGCCTCTCGGAATACCGCCAACAGCTGTTCCAGGCTGCGGGGATCACCATAGCCCATTGCCACCTCCACGCATCGCATTTTTGGCCTCTGCGCGTCGTGTTTTTGGCCTCCGTGTGTCACATTTTCGGCTTCCGCACGCTCCATTTTAGACCCATTTCAGGCTGTCAGGATCACACAGCAAATCGCTGTTGATCACTGCCTCCGCGCATCGTGTTTTTGGCCTCTGCGTGTCATGTTTTTGGCCCATTCCATGTGGCGGGGGGGATCACCTCCAATCCCCACTGCCTGGAACTGGCCGAAAACGTGACACGTGAAGGTGGTGATGTGCTGTGGTGATCCCCGCAGCCTGGAACGGGTCTAAAACAGGATGTGCGGAGGCCGAAAACACGATGCACGGAGGCCAAAAATGGCTGAACGGTGGCGGCCGGCGGGTGGGCGGGGCTTCAGCAACATTCTCTGTATAAGACGCACAGACATTTCCACCCACTTTTTTTGGGTGGGGGGAGTGCATCTTATACTCTGAAAAATACGATAAATTCAAAATCTAAAATCACAGACACAGAACCTTGGCATGATCGCAGGAAGTTGGCATGTTGAAACGGTAATACAGGTAGTCCTTGACTTACAACAGTTCATTTAGAGACCGTTCAAAGTTGCAACGGCACTGGAAAATGTGACTTATGACTGTTTTTCACAGTTACAACCTTTGCAACATCCCCAGGATCATGGGATCAGAATTCAGACGCTTGACAACTGGTTCATATTTATGACCATTGCTGTGTCCCAAGATCATGTTATCCCCTTTTGTGACCTTCTGACAAGCAAAGTGAATGGGGAAGCCAGATTCACTTAACAACCAGGTTACTCACTTATCAGCTGCAGTGATTCACTTAACAATAGTGGCAAGAAAAGCCGTCAAATGGGACAAAACTCACTTAACAGACATCTCGCTTCACAACAGAAATGTTGGGCTCAATTGAGGTCGTAAGTCGAGGACGTACTTTAGAAAAGCATTAAAATTCTATGCCTGTTAATTTCAACCTGGTGCATACAGTTCTAAATATTCATTTCTGCCTGGGAAGGTAAACATTTCATGTTTTGAATCATATACAATTTTAATCATCTTTTGATGATGAAAAACCAATTTTGAGTATGCTAAGCTGCTGGAGAAGAAAGAAGAAGAGGAAGAAGAAGAGGAAGAGGAGGAAGAGGAAGAGGAGGAGGAGGAGGAAGAGGAGGAGGAGGAGGAAGAGGAAAAACCAAGATCTTTTAGTTCCTCACTGCCAGCCCTGAATTAAATGGACAAAATTAAAAATGTGTGTGACTGACACCTGTCCAAACATCATCAATTAATTAGATAGTTAGACTACATTAAGTACACAGGATGCATCTATAACCAGAATATGTAGTTAATTGTAAGTATTATAATATTTACAACAGAGCCAGTTTGGTCTAGCGGTTAAGGCACCAGGCTAGAAAGCAGGACACTGTGAGTTCAAGTCCTGCCCCTTAGCCATCAAAGCCAGCTGAGCCAATCAACTGGAGAAGGAGAGTTCTAATCCCGCCTTAGGCATGAAAGCCAGTTGGATGACTGTGAGCCAATCACCAGGAGACGGAGAGTTCCTAATCCTGCCGTAGACATGAAAACCAGTTGGATGATTCTGAGCCAATCACGGAGAATTCTAATCTCGCCGTAGGCATGAAGCCAGTTGGATGACTGTGAGCCAATCACCAGGAGACGGAGAGTTCTAATCCCGCCGTAGACATGAAAACCAGTTGGATGATTCTGAGCCAATCACGGAGAATTCTAATCTCACCATAGGCATGGAAGCCAGTTGGATGACTGTGAGCCAATCACCAGGAGATGGAGAGTTCTACTCCCGCTTTAGCCATTAAAGATAGATGGGTGACTCTGGACCAGTCCTTCTCCCTCAAAACAACCCACCTCACAGGGTTGTTTGTAGGAAAATCAGGAGGCGGAAGGAGCATTTAGTATGTTAGCCCCCTTAACAATAAAGGCAGGATATTATGCCCAGTTGCTCTGCGTTTTTATTTTTGTTTTGCTTTCTACATTTTCATTTGTTTTATTGTATGCTAGAGACGCCTGAAAGAAGGGCAGCTAACTAAATAATTAAACTTGAATTAGAACAAGCGTAGTGGTATTTTCATGAGACTTTAACCCTTCAGCCCTTTCAAAACTGTCAGGTTTAATGCTATTAAAATCAAATTTTACCTTAGCTAAGATGTCCATAAAATGAAAACAAACACTAATCATTAAGGAGCTTAGAGCCCTTATTTTAAGAGTCCCCAAATCTCAAGATATAAATAAACAGTTTCAGGTTAAACCGAAACTAACATTTAAGACTTGTGTTTTAAAAGTAGATTTCCCTGTCTGTTCATTATTTTTACCGCTACGCTGCCAACAATCAAATATTTTTATTGGTATAAATCTGCATATATAGTTTATCGTACCCGGTAAGTCATATATGTGAAAATAAACTTTAACCCTTAGAAAATCAGTGCTTGTTCCTATCATTGGAGAAGATGTAAGAACTAGCAATCAAAACAACAGCGCTTATAGTTTATTTGCAATTTTAATGATTATGGTGGGGGGGAAAAAAACAGCTGTATTATCTGCCCTAACAGCCAACCTTCGGACAAACACACACCCACCCACAATGTACACACATATAAACATAACTGAGTCCAGGACAGTAGACATACCATTCATTGCCATGGTAACCAATCCTTTCCAAGACCGGTAATGCAACTTTACAATTTAGCCCGTCAATGACACATGTCACTTTATAACTCGGCTGCCGAGAGGATTTGCTTTGACAGAATATATTTATATTCCACCACATCATGAAGCAGAGAGATCGGAAAACCACAAATAAGCATGTCTTGTGATAGAATGACCTTCTTCTTTTTTTAAAAAAAAATAAAAAATAGTATATAAAGATAGAAAACTATCTTTCTCCTGCTCTCTGAAATCTTTGCATTTAAAATGCATTTTTTTTGGAGATTTAGTAGGCTGAGAAGAATCTGTATCTGAAAAGGAATGAATCGTAACAGACAAGCTGTTTTTCAAGAAGAGAATATGACGGCCGTGGCCAGGGGGGCTTTTTATCAGGTCTGCCTGATTCGCCAGTTGCGTCCCTTTCTGGATCGGGACTCCTTACGCACAGTCACTCAGGCACTCGTCACTTCCTGCCTGGACTACTGCAATGCTCTCTACATGGGCTCCCCTTGAGGTGCACCCAGAGGCTCCAGCTGGTGCTGAATGCGGCTGCGCGGGGGATTATGGGAGCGAGAGGGCGCTCCCATGTGACACCTCTCCTGCGTGAGCTGCATTGGCTCCTGGTGGACTTCCGGGTGCGCTTCAAGGTATTGGTTACCACCTTTAAAGCACTCCATGGCATCGGACCTGGGTATTTGCGGGACCGCCTTCTGCCACCAATAGCCTCCCACTGGCCAGTACGCTCCCACAGAGAGGGACTCCTCAGGGTGTCGTCAGCTAGGCAGTGTCGGCTGGCGACCCCAGGGGGAGGGCCTTCTCTGTGGCAGCACCTGCCCTCTGGAACGATTTGCCCCCGGAGATACGGAGGATATCAGATCTCCGGGCTTTTCGCCGCGCCCTAAAATCTTTTCTCTTCCATCAGGCAGGGCTGGCGTGAAACACACACACACACACACCGTTTTTGAGATATTAGATTTTTAATTGTTTAATGGGTTTTAGTCGTAAGGTTCTTAATTTTTCGGCCAAAGGATATAATTCTTTTAAATTTTTAACTTTTGTATTGGATGTTTTTTACTTGGCTGTGCACCGCCCTGAGTCCACCAGGAGAAGGGTGGTATACAAATTTAAATAAATAAATAAATAAATAAAGTAAAAAACAACACAAAAACTATAGTTAAAATTATTTTCTTCTATAACTAATTGCATTTTCAAACGTGGTTTGACCTAAAATGACAAGCTAAAATGACCAGTCATTAAGATTCTGTATTCCAGCATCGAAATTTGTATAATTCTGTTCAAGCTCTAAAACAGGGGTCTCGAACTCAAGGCCCGCGGGCTGGATCTGGTGCTTAAATCTGGCCCGCGGGACTGGCCTGGAAATATTAAAGGACCAGCCCACGGTGCCTCTGCCAGCTAAAACAGGCCTCACGGGGCTTCCACGTCGTCCATTTTCAGCAGGGAGAGTGCTGCAGGAGGCTGAAAATGTGATGCGGGGGGGTGCACATGCCCCCCCATGCCCCGTTTTGGCCGGCAGGGTGCTACAGGAGATGTAACCCTAACCCCGTGATGGCGAACTTATGGCAGCACACACGGCTTTGCCTGTTTGTCTTCCGGGTTTCTGGTGCGCACGCAACCATCAGCTGTCCTTCACACACGCAGCAGTGTCGAAAACCGGTGTGCGCATTTGCGCCAACCAGCTGTCGGGTGTGCATGCGCGCCAGAACCAGGAAGCTTGGCTTTTCTGGAGTGCGATTCCTTCGCGCACGCAGCAGTGCTGAAAACCGGCCTGCAAATGCACGCTAGCCAGCTGATTGTTGGTTACGCATGTGCGCTAGAACGCAGAAGTTTGGCTTTTCCAGAGCGCGGTCCAAACAAGCACACATATACACGCGTGACATTTCCGTGCGATCTTTTCTGCACTTGGTGCCGACAACATTCGCCATCACTGTCCTAACCCACCTCCCCCCCGACCCCCACCGCCAGA